CTCTGCTGCAAGCTGCTCAACTTCCTCAAGCTCTTCGCCATGTACGCGGCCGCCCTGGTGCTGGTGGTCATCAGCCTGGACCGCCACGCGGCCGTCCTCCGGCCCTTCGCCTTCGCCGGTGCCCGCCGGCGCAACAAGCTCCTGCTCTACGCTGCCTGGGCCGCGAGCGTCCTGCTGGCTTCGCCCCAGGTAGGGCTGGCCAAGGCCGTCCCCAACCATGGACTTCACTGGCACCAGGACAACGTGGTGCTCAGCGCCGTTTTACACCTGGCTTATAACTCTGGCTCACTAAAACACGGTCTGGGCGTTATATAAGCATGGGGGAAAACTCTAGGAGCAATTATTTTTAAACGCTTATGCATGTGGCTATCTGCTCCTAGAAATGCATCATTGCACTACTACTACTACTACAAAAAATTGGACTGGAGCAAGACAAACCAGACCAATTGCTGACCAAAATAACATGCAGGTAGGACAGAAAGTAAAGAGCGAAGGCCGTATTTCAGTGCTTATAAGGGCAGAGCCCAAACCCACCGAGTCCTGAAGGAGATTTGCAGGGGACACTACCTTCTGTCTGTTCAAGGGTAGACACTAACTCACTTCTACCGCCAAAACAATGAGTTTTTTGAGACAGCAGATAGGACTTTACAGATGGCAGATCCCACCAGTCCTGGCCACGCCTGTGAGTTAGACTGGGAGACACCAGAGCATGTCTTCCAGTCCAACAGCAGAAGGAAAGCGTCCTCAGTAACCCAGCTAGGAACGTTTTCAGGATGTCGTGCTCTGTTTCACAGCAGCTCTGAGTTGTTATTTGGTTCTTGATTTCAGCTTTTCCTTTTCCATCTGCACACCATCCCAGGAGTGAATTTCACCCAGTGTGTTACTCACGGCAGTTTCCAAGAGCACTGGGAAGAAACTGTCTACAACATGTTCACCTTCACCACCCTCTACATCACCCCGCTGAGCGTCATGATTATTTGCTACATCCGAATCATATGGGAAATCAGTAAGCAGCTGAAGATCAACAAAGGTAAGCAGGCCACAGCCATTGAATATTCAGCACAACTCCATCTGATCAATCCTGCTCTATCATTGAGCGGTGCTGGGTCCATCCCAAAGGGGTATTTTGTTGTAGAGTTCTCCAGATCTTCTCACTTCTCCAAGGCCAGGCAATGTTAATGGAAATGCAAAGTCACCTCTGATGGAAAACAACAAAGAGTTTCACGGGGGGAAGTGTTTTAGAGAAAGTCTTGTGCAAGAAATTACATATCATGGCCAGGGGTGGCAAAGGCCATGGATTCTCTCTGTTTTTTTGCCCGCCTGTGCCAGGACCTCCAGGTTCTCCTTGCGCCATCCAAGGTCTGCAGGAAAGGTACATAGGAACTGTTTGAAGGCCAAGGATGGGAACAGTCTGGTGACTTCTCAGCTTCGCGCCTTTGGCTATGTAGAGAAAGACCTCAACCTGGCTTTATAAGCAACCACTCACTTGAAGGGTAGCCACTCTGACAGCTGTGTTTCGTCATGATCTGGGCCCGCGAATTGCACTAAGTCACTGTAGAGGAGATAAACCCTGGCACAGAGCAGCCCGCCAGCACCCTATGGTAACCCAGCTGGGGGCCTCGACCCAGTCTTCTTGACCCCCTTCCTCACTGCCCTCTGCTTTCTGTGAGCATTGGGCCAGACCATACGATAATCTTCCCCTCTTTGGCAGAAAGAGTGGCTTTGGCAGTCATGGATGTTTTTGTTTTCCTGGTTTTCTCCTATCTACGGTTATCCTTTTGACTCTTCCCTGGCAGGTCTGATAAGAAGCAAAAACGACCACATCTCCAAGGCACGCATGAAGACACTCAAGATGACCATAGTGATTGTTGCTACCTTCATCATCTGCTGGACCCCGTATTACCTCTTGGGCTTGTGGTATTGGTTCCAGCCAGACATGATCCAAAGGATGCCTGACTATATCAACCACAGCTTCTTCCTCTTTGGCTTGCTGCACACATGCACCGACCCTGTCATTTATGGACTGTACACCCCCTCCTTTCGGGAGGACATGCAGCTGTGTCTCAGAGGCATTGAAACAGCGATTACCAGGCAAGAGAGACCCAAACCTGTCTCAGGCTCAGAGAAGAACAACAAAGATGATGCTGTAAACGGTGGGGTGGCGTCAGGGGGTTCCAACGGGACGACTGTGCACACGGTGTGCTGAAGAGACGTACCTCAAAGGAAACCAGAGACCCAGCTTCAGGGGCTGCTTCATCCCAAAGCCTCATTTTGGAGACTGTCACAAGAAGTCACAAGGAGATTTTTCCACCTGACTATGAGTCTCTTGACAAAAACTGTAACAGGGAACATTTCTGTGACCTGGACTCAGGGTGAAAAATTTTGATTTTGGGGGTAATTACGGTTATTCTTCCACATTCTGGGAGCCCTGTAACAACTAGGAAACTGGCCTTTTCATCACCTATGCGTGCTGTTCCAGGCCAGATGTCCCCTAGCACTGACTCTGGGATCGAGCACCTGCCATGCTTCCAGAATCAACCCATGGGAGAAGACACACTGGCTTCTCAGCCGTATGGAGCACGGGCCAGGTTTCCCGGGGTGTTCGGTCTGCAGGTGACCCTTGGGCCTGTTCCCAAGTGCACAGTTGTGCAGATGCATAGCGCTCTGTGGAAGTGGACCCTGAGACATTGCAAAAATGGTAACTGCAGGCTTTGATTCCATTTTCCCCACCCGTTGTAGTAAAGTTTCTCTCGAAATTTCTGCTCTTCTGGCTCCGTGCCCATCTGGTTCTCCCACAGCCTTCTGTGAAGCTCCAAGAACATTTTAAACCTTGGGGAGTGACTAATGCAGGGTGCTTGTTTTGTACTTTTGGAAACCTGCTCAGCAGAAATAAATTGTCCTCGGGTTGTTTGTGGACCAGCGTTTATTGGGTTGCTGTCCTTGGACCCTCAGAGCAGTGTTTCTGGGTCCGAATCATCGGGCGGTGTCTGATTTTCCACCCCAGCAGGGGACAGTGGGGGTGGGCATTGAGCCGTGTTCTTCAGCTGCAACCTTTGCTCCACACAGGTGAGGTCTTCTTCATCCCACCCTTCTCCTCTCCACAGCCTCAAAATCAGAGGTGAAGGTCATTTTCTGCCCCACTTCTCCCACCAGGCTGACTCGGCAGTGGGCAGGGAGGTGATGCTAGTGGGGTGGAGAGGCTCGGGCAAGAGAAGGTATGAAGAACTGCCGTGGGGTGTCATGAGGTGGGGTGGGATGGGATTCCTCCTCCCTTTTGGAGGCTGCCAGAAGGGGAAATAGTTCCAGCCGCCTTATTCTGGCATGCAGGGGGTTAGATGGACACGTCCTTACCTAGCAGCTCTCTGGTACGCACAGATAAACCAAGCAAGAGCATTTGCGGTACGAGGAGGGCGAGAATAAGACCACAATGCTGATCTGTCCCCCTCGACTGCCTCTGTCCCGGGCCCCTCCCCGCAACATGAGCTTGGCAGGTCTCAGACTATGCACAGGGCTGACTCCAGCAGGGGCTGAAAGAACAGAAATCACATTTTCTCTTCTGTGTTTTGCCCTCTCCCATCTATACATGCTTGCTTAGTCCTAGCTACTTGACCTGACACCAGGAAGAGCCACTGTGACCTCAGCCACCCCCACCCCAGCTCACTTCTGCCTGAAGCAGGATACCTGCAACCATTTTGCAGGCCAGGGAGTCTCCCAGCGAGTAACATGATGGGAAACACCTGCTGGGTGGAGGGGTCAAATCAGCAGTAATGGGTGCCAGGTGGGTGCTGCTGGCCTTGAGCCTGGGAGCTGCTGCTGGCTGCACAGTGCAGGGAAGGCATGCTGCTGGAGGGGAGCTTGGGGCAGAGACTGGAGCCCTGCACAGGATCGGGGTGAGGGAAGGAGCCGTGGTGGATCAGCTGAGTGGTGAGTAAAGTGGACATTTTTCTTTTCACCAGTTTGTGTGTTCTTGGAGGAAAGCTGCTTCTGAATGGCTGTTAAGGTTGAGGCTGGTTGAAAAGCTGGGTTTATTTGACTGTTGTTGCCTTCTAAGCAATGAGAAACAGATGATTATTTGTTTGTTCTTTTTGTGTGCTGATTGTTGTTAAATATATCTTAGCTTTTGAAGCTAAATTTAGTTTTGAGTTTGGTGGATTTTCTTATTATTATTGTTATTTTTTGTTTTGTTTAGAAGGTAGTGAAATCTTGGGGCCATTCAGGAGCTCTTTGACCTCAGCACTTAGCAGGAGGCAGTTCTCTGGGTATTTTTGTGACAACTGAGACTCTTAATGAGCATCTGGACTTTATAACAATGAAAGATTCTATTTTAAAAAAAATTTCTGACTTGCTCTGGATGAGTGCGTAGGGAAGCTGGAAGGTTTCTATGGATGGGCCAACACCAAATCATTAAACATCCTTTGGGCACTTGCTTGACTCTGTGTGCCGGAGGGTGTGGATCCTCACAGGTCGAGAAGGACCATGCCTGACCCACTAGCCTTTTTGCGGCCAAGGGCATTGCTGCACAGAGGGGTAGGGCTTTGCTGAACATCAGCCACGTGAAACCTAGGTGCCTTGTCCAAGCCTGCGTCCAGCCTCCCTCCCTTGGTGGCAGGAGAAAGGTGCTTTGCAGGAGGAATGCGCTGCCATCCTGGGAGCTCGGTCCTTGCTGCACCCACGCTTTGCTGGGATGCTGGTGTGCAGACTTTGCCTTTGCATCAGTGCCTCCTCCTGCTCATCTTTCCCAGCCACAAAGACCTGCTTAAACCAGAGAGGTGGCAAGTGGTGTTTGCAGGTGGGCTGATGCTGGACTGGAGAAGAGTGTTGGACACTTGCTGTTCCCCATGCTAAGCCATCGTTTATGTTAAATGTGCTGCACAAGGAAAAATTTCAGTCGGAGCGGCAGGGGCCCTGTCTGGCTGCTGGGGATTAACGCGAGCCCTTTAGAAAGCTTCCAAACTCCACTGAGACGCGTAATCGTCGCTTTGCTTTCCCGGGCTCGCTCTGTTGAAGGTTAATTATGCAACGCTAACAGGGAGCGGAGCTTGCTGCTTCCGTGCTGTCTCAGCTCGACCCGACCCGTGCAAACAGGCATTTCTTCAGAGGCAATGGGAGTGACTTGTGGTGGGGGAAGATAATTTATTCACCAGGCTCTCATGTGGTGTCATGGCTTAAATGGCTGAAGATACCTAAGGGGAGACAGATCCTTAAGATGTGCTTGTTTTGTGATGGGCCTCAAATAGCCAGGAAAGTGTCTGTAATCTTCTGAAGACATTCTTCATCAACTTCCTACTGCACGGGAGAGAATGGCCCAGTGTTGTCCACGCACTTAAGGCCACTTGTCTCCTCTTGTACAGCTGCAAGAGAGCTCTGAGACCTTCTCCACGCAGTCAGAAACATTCCTTCCCTTGTGGGAAGGACTCGCAGCCTTTACAACCCACAGGTATCTTGAGAGGGCAGAAGCAGTTTTTGCATTAGGCAAACTAGCTCAGTAGGAAAATCATTTTTCAGGATGCTATAGAGGACTTGTCCCTTGAGGAGCAAGGGGTGGAAGGGTGCTCGGAGAGACCGTGTGCTGGCTGAAATGGTTGTTACCCAAGCATGGAAGTTTGGGGCTTTCCTGCCTCTGAGGGTTGGGTTTTGGACAAGTTGTGCACTGAAAACTGTAGAGTTTGTGACTCAGGTGGGATAACATGAAATGGGGAGCGGAGTGTGCCTGTGACCTGGGAAGAGCTGCCCCTGAAGCACTGGGAAGAGGGGAATGTGTTTGGGCCACGCTCCGGATCCCAGGCCCTGGGTCGTGCTGCCCCTTCTGCCCCTCAGCTTTTTCCGCGTTTCGAGTTTTATCTTCTAGCTGTGGACGCTCATGTTGTCACCTTCCTGTCCTTCGGCGGTGCTCAAGGCTGACATTTCAGGAAACTCGGAGCACGGGCAAGGCGCCCAAAGTGACAGCTTTCACAATAGAAAGAAAATGTCACCAAAAAAGCACGTTGCCAAGCAGTGCGTGCCAGCGTGCCACCTGCAGAGTGCCAAACGCGCGAGGGAGCGGGGAGCAGAGCTGGAGCGGGAGAGCTGCCCAGGAGGAGCTGGGGCAGCCCTTTGCTGGGTCACTGCGGAGCAGCTCAGCTAACCTGCTTCTGCTAGAGGTGGAACGAAGGCCAGGCCTAGGTTGAATTTTAAGGTTGTGCTGCCTGGGTCTGCCTTTCCAGACGTGAGGCCGTGCCTGTGTTTCTGATTCTGCATTTCTTAAACCAGCTCATACTTTAGAGAGTAAAAGATTTCTGCGCTGCACATTGTGAACGTGAAACCTGGTTCCTTGGTCTTCCTCATCCGGGAGGTGGCTCTCCTTTATCCATAGCAGTTCCCTCCTCCTCCACGCTGCCTCACACCATCGATCTCCAGCAACACCTCCCTCCACCTCAGGTGGCTTTTAAGACCTTTTCACTTAATAATATTATTTATTTCCCCTTATCGCAGGAGAAATCTTCCACTTCCCCAAAAGGCCTCCATTCCCCCACCATGAAACAGCAGCTGCCGTTCTTGCCCTTGCCGCGTTTGTAGCCCGATCAGGCTTGTCTGATTTGGTACCAGATTCTTAGTATCCACGACAGCAATGCGATGAACACAATAATAAGCACAGGTAGCTCTGTATTTGAGAGTTTCCTGACCTAATTCTGGGCTGCCTGCTCCAGACACGCTAATCCTTTGTTCAGGAAGAAATTCTGATTCATTTTCCGTTAGCTTTTTTATAGTACCACACATGCTCAAAGAGCCACACAAGTGGCTTAAGAGGATAATATGAACCTTAGGTTAATTCATAATGTTATTACTCAGCACAACACTCAAATTCATTCAGCTGACTGCCTCTCGCCACGTTGGGAAACATGCTGAAAGCAACAGGGAGCACTGAAAACAAGCACAGCACTAGTATATGAAGTATTTTGCTGGTCCATTTTGGTAGCATCTGAGTACCTTAAATGCATTTATTTTCCCATTATCTTGGAGGACGGCGTGACCCCGGCTCTGCGGGCGTGGAGCTGGTGCCCAGCTTCCCTGCAATACTAGGAGCAGGAGGGAGAGGACTAAGAGCCCTCCAAGAGGCTCCCGAGACATGTACGTGGGGACATTAGACTCTGGGTGCCCACCTGCAACCCCCTCTTTCTTGTGGGTCTAGTCAAAACGTGACAGTGGCTTTTTCAAATGACTCTTCCTTTGGTATCTCGTGATTTAGCTGCAGTGCTGGACTACACAAGTCCTGTCTTGAGTACCCCCAGAATACTCCTCTCTTTGAGGAAATAGCCTACAGCAACTATCGTAGATCCGTTGGGGATTAGCTCCCTGCATAGATGTTACTATTCCACACTTTGTGAGTTAAACTAAATAGTTTATAGCTGAACAAAACCCCACACAGATCTCGGGAGTTAGCATTGAATGGCCACCATGTATTAATTCCTTTGCTTATTCTACAGGAACTTTCCCATGCAAAGAAACCCTAAAAAAACAGGGCCTCAAAAACCTGCTACGTTTCTCCCCATCTGTTCCTTTTGTCTGTCTTGCTGATGCCCAAGCTTGTGCCTTTCCCTGCAGGGAAACAACCGCCCGTTGAACAATTGCCGCCTAACCTCCTTTTCCAAAGGGCTCCAAGTATCCCATCTGTTCCAAAAGATGCTTCATTTGCAGACATACACCAAGGCTTTTAACAATGCAGTCCCCTGTAGAAAGGATTAAATGCTTCTGGGTTTTCTGTCCGGCACATTAGCCATCCTAAACTGGTGTGTATGTATATGTGGCACACCAATAATGAGCAGTGAGGACCAGAAACGCGCAAATACTTTCCAGACCTCCATGCAGGCTTCAAACCCCAAGTCCCCGCACTGGAATATCAAGAAGTAAACTACCATAAAGTATTTAAAGCTGTCATGCAATGTTTATGTATATTTTAATTTCAAATCAACACTATAATTAGTGCACACATTTCTTGGGCTCAGGAAATGCAGTGTGCTGTAACAGTGAGCACTATTAACGGACTGTAAAAGGCAAGGGGGAATTGGATTCTAATGTTCTTGTTTTGCAAGCTGTACAGTGAATAAGTAAGTTTGTTTTGGCAGCAAAATTAACTGGAATAAATGCTTCTAGCTGCATCCACCAACAAGAGGGGTTATTGTAAATGAATTTTTTCTTAGGCTTGAGTTAGAAAACCTGATTACCAGGTCATCATTTCCAGCAACTAGGTAACAGAACAACATTAGAGAAAGAAGAGATTTTCTTTGAAATATTTAATGAGTAAGGTTGCAATCATATACTCATCTGCTGGGAACATGGGATGAGATTTTTTTTTTTTTTAAAGGGTTCACTGTGCAATGAAAACCTGCATGTATCAAGTCCACTACTGAAAGCCAGAGTGTAAGCTTGAACAGTGGCAGGTATCTAGCTCTTCTGTGCCTAGAATCTCTGGGTCATTCATTGTGTTTGTCCCATGCCCAAAGGCACTAATCAGCGGACAGTTCTTTGTTCCTTTTTCAGTTTCAGTTAGCCGAAGTTGTTTTGTAACAACAGCAAATACAAAAGACTTGGACAGAAGGGGGAGGATGTTTCCTTCTTAATGTTCTACAATGAACTCACACATGCCCTGTTCACTTATTTTCAAGCAAACCCCTGAAATACGGTCAGAATTCCCTACTTCAAGATTAGAAAAGATGATTCTGAGATGTACTGAGGCTTTACACACCAGCATTAAGCCAAAGCACTCCACAAAGAGTGTAACTGCTGTAATTCTGACCACGAAAAGCTCCACCTCTTTCTGAAAACTTAACGTGGACAATCTGCCTTACAAACATGCAGTATTGTGCACAAGTTGTCATACCTCCAACACTAGGTGAAGTCTACACAAAGCTAATCATACTAAGAACGTTCATGGATACAAACTGCATCTACTGCCGTTTTATTCCATTTCTTAGAAACCTGCCTCAGGAAATAGTTGGTATGTTACTGCTAGTTAGTCTATTTGTTTGTAAAGAGGGAGAAAACGATTCAATACGGGTACAAATGTTGAACTAGATCCCAAAAACCAAGCAGAGCCAACCCTAAAAAGCCTGCCAGGTGTCAGTTTAAGTGGAAACGTTCGCCCTCCCCCTCGTTGGCACAGAAGACACAAGTGGAAGGCAGTTTAACAGGGAAATCCTTATTTACTATTGATGCCGAACTGTTATTTCAGCCTGATCTATATATAAGGAACAAGGCAAACCCCATGGATTTAATGCAAAAACAAAACAAAAAATAAATTTAAAAAAACTTTAAATTTTTTTTTTAGTAATTTCTCCCATTTTGGTTGCTATTTCATGCTGTTTTCTCTTCATGCTCAAATATAAAAATTCCTGGCCAAAAACAAAGTTAGGTTTAAAAGTGACCATCTGCATCAGTACATGAGAAACATCACTGAATACAGTTTCTGAAAACAAACTGGTTAAGATCTGCTACAAGTAACCCTCTCTGAAATACAGAAAAGTCTTCCTTTCCAACTGCATGCAAATATTACTACCTCAGTCTGACAGAAAATGGTCGCACTAAGCCTTCATTAATTTTAAATAACTTCTCTAGTCATGGACCCTTAACAATTGGTTCACGCTAAGCTGCACCACTGTGACCCTTTTCAGCTGTACCGGGCATCCTCATAAATCACAGGAACACAGAAATAAGAATAAATGGAAAGTTGCCATGAGGATAGTTTAGCAGAGACAGAAATGGAAAACTCCAGGCACCTTCATTTCCAGAGCTCTTAGACAGATGCAGTACATCATAGATTTGCTATTATTAAGGCACATGGTGAAAATAACAGTTCATCATCCCAGGCAATTCATCCTTCCGAGTCAAACATTCTGTGCCAGTAGTACAGGAAGGCTGGCGAATTGCTGGCCCCTATCACCATTAGCAGCAGTAGGTAGAGCATCATCATTACAGCAAAACGGTGGGTGGAAAACCAGGAAGATTGACTAGGGAGCCTGAAAAGGGAAAAGTGCACGAATTCTGTGAGAGCTGTACAAATATCTTGACAAAAGAGATCATCTTAGGTTTTGCTATTTTAAATGACCGAGTATGCTAATGCAATAAAAGCGGAAAGTCGTTCCACAAGCAGTGCAACAAACAGTGCCTCTTTTCCCCATGACTGGTATCTTATTAACCCCGAGTCACCATGCCCAACCCCACTTCCTCCGGGACTGGTTTGGAGCTGTGCTGGGTCTGTAATTTGCTGGCCTGTACCCACAGGCTGATTAGCTGGGTGAATGCTGCCTCCTTACAACAGGTAAGGCTGAGTTAAAACTCCTCTGATGAGGGACACTCATCTGGGTCTCTCTCTTGTTTCCTGCCATGGGCAGACTATTTCAGGTCTCAGAGATTCTTTCTAAGTTCTCACAGGTTTGCTGAAAAATCCAGTTTAGCTGAAACTGAGAGTCGTAAATTACCAGGAAGGGAAAGGATGACTGCAGAGATGGCTATAGAGGCAGCATGACCGTGTAATCTAAACCCAAATTCTGGCAGTGAAGCATCTTTTTTCTTGCTTGTTGTCTGTTGTTTTGCACAAACAGGATGTGTTTATCTGCCTGTTATAGCATGCTCATCACTCTAGACAGCTGAACTCTTACCTCCTATGCTGTTTCTGTGAATATACTAGCAAGTATTTAACTCGTAAAAGCTGGTTGTTTGTGACAACGAAGTATTTCTGTGGTACATCACCCCCTTCGCTGTTTTTCACTCTTGCTCTTTTCCTGTCTATTTCTTCTGAATCTGCATAGGAAGAGAAGAGTTCTTTTGGGGAAGAGGAAAGCAAAATGAGATGCCCGACTCTGAGTGTCAAAAACAAAACAAAAAACCCCATTCACCCACAACAGTGGGAACGAGATAACCAAAGATCTCGTCTTGGCGTTTCCCAGACTCCCTTCCATCCAACAATGGGCTGGAAAGTTTGCTTAAGGCTATACCGCTCCTAGCTATCCCTTGGTATGGATGGTATTGTGCTTTGGGAGAGGGTAAAAAGGAGGCAGATCTCACAGAGTGCTTGAGCAGCTGCTAATATTAACAAGGGAAGAGAAACAACTTTGGAGGACTGAGCGTTCCAAGCAGGAAGCAGTCAAAGCAGATGGACAATCAGAGTAGAGGTTTCCTATCTAACGTAATTCATTTTTATGCACTTGTGATGTGCATAAACGGTCTCACACTCACAGATGACGTGACCAGGCATTATGGAATAGGCTGTATCCTATTACTGAAACTAGTAAAAACAAATGAAGTGACCAAAATAGTCAATTTAAAGGTTGGAAATTATCTTGGGAAAAGCTTCATGGTCAAGAAGGCTATTGTACGTTTGTGAGGGGTCAATCAGAAAAGGTGTTCCCAGCCAGTTTCTGCTGAAGGGAATACACATCATATACTGCACTGTTTGTATGACAGCATACATGCACAAGGCTGAAACATGGGAAGTACTAACAAAAGATGAACTGTATGTAATGACGATGATTATTATTGCAATATGCTCACCTTTCTTTTTCACCTGGCACTTTACATCTGGGTGGTCAATGATCTCACAGACAGCTACGCAGCTAAGGATAGAGCCCAAAACACTCCGCTGCCATCCAAGCCCATGAGGGCTATAGAGGAGAGCCAGACTCAGATCACTGGTAAGATAAGTACCTTCACCGAACAGGGATGTCTGAAATAGAGCAGAAATGCATCCTAACAGTCCGTAGTGCACACCATAAACAGCATACAAGTGTTCTTTATTTTCAGACTGGCTGTTCTGTTTCTGAAAGTAAACTAAGAAAGGCTTTTCTTACTCTTGTCGGGCTGGGTGCGCTCACTGCTGTCGTCCTGAGACGACTTCCTTGGGGTGAGGTGGCTGCCCGCTCCCATCCCTTAAATTAAGGCCTGTTTGGCATGGCCCTTGGCATGGGTGGATTCATGCTTTCCCATATTTGGGATAAGTTTGCCAGTGTAAGTATTTTATATCAACATGACTGAAAAACTGTTAGGGGCACTTCACTGATGGTTCAGGTAATTGAACTTCCGCCTAGAGGCAAGGCTTTACTCCCATCTAGAACCCTGCCTTACAAGATAGGATGGAAGCACTTTTCAAGTGCGAACACCTTTCATTGTAATTGCTTTGCTAACTTTGAATCACAAGTTTTGCCACGCTGGCTAAAATCGTTAACCCCGTAAACCCATTGTAGCTGATAGGCCATTACTCATAAAGAATGCGAGGAAACAAAGTTCATAATTAGTGCCAACTATGCCCTTCTGGGAGGCGGGGCTGTTTCCTTTCCACAGCCTGCTGATACGTGGGTGAAAAATCCACAACATTTATGCTAACGAGTTTGAAGGTCTGATAATGGTAAAGAAACCAGGTAGTGGAAAACAGTGTTACTGTTCTGAGCGTGTTGCAGGCTGACTGGAAGGATACACAGCTGTTGTCAGAGCTGCTTTACAGACAACACAGAGCTAGGAGTGAGTCCCAGCTACGTTTCTGTTGAAATCGGAACGGTTGCAAATCCCTTCTTCCCCTACAAGACATCTCCCTTAGCCCAGCCATTTAGAGAAAGCTTTGTTTGCAAGTAGCACCCAAAATGTAGCCCACCTAAGCTGGAGGCCTGGCCGAAAGAGAGAATCTCTATGCTGAGAGAGAGAGATTCTACACCACCTTCCTCCATGCATAGGAAATTCCCAGCTGAAGGCTGTCAAACAGGCCAGCATTTTCAGAGGTATCACACTTCCTTACAAAGAACTAAAGGATAGCCATAATTAGTCTCCCTGGAGAACAGGGCAGGGATTCATGCCCCTTCTAGTTTTTAACCCCAGCCTGCACTAGAAAATCCAACGCAATCGTACACAAAAGTCTCCACTGAAGTGAAGAGCAGTATAAGAAAATTTCACAATCTTGATGAATTTGTGGTCTGTTTTTTAAAAGTGTCATTGGCTGCCAGGGAGCAACAAGTGACACCGAAAGCCTCACCCTGTTCAAGTGGCACTGCAGGCCGTTGTGCAGGATGGAATGGAAGTTCTCGAGGCGGCTCCCGTGGAACGCGTAGATGAGGTCCCGTTCTCCCCTGGTCTCGGCAAACTTGGTATTCATTTGCTCGCAATACATTACCTCAAACAGGAAGTCCGGAGCAGGAACAGCAGCACCAGACATCCCAGTGAGCTCTTGGATCTTCTCATACTTACAAACAGGAAGGAATACTCGTGTTGGTTTATGGAGTTAGATTATGCACTGGAAATCCTCCTTACTGTCCCTTAGGTTTCCAAATTGTTTCACATATTCTGTTAATGCCCTCTGCGTTACAATACAACGTTCCCACAATTCAGAAGGAATGTGTACTGTGAGAATTCTGCCAGCTTCTTACCATCCTCTGCTTTGGCAAACTGCCTCTCTTTCAAAGCTAACTCACCATTCTTCTCCCAAGAAAAAAAAAAGGTTAGAGCATGACTAGAAATTAACTGGTGATGTAAGGAGGGTATCACAATCTTACCATGCGTGTTTGGCTACTAAGATGATACATCATTACCTGATTTTGGAAGAGGAAAACACGAGAAAATAAGAGGTATTTTCATCTTGCTACTTATCTCCACTACTATTTTGATCCCTTTTACAGAAGTACATCAGTGGCTCACAACCTGCCCTCTCCCTTTTTGTGGGGCAGTATGCATTTGTTATCAAATGTATAACAAAGTAAAACAAATTTCTCCAAAGTAGCAGAGGAAGGCTGTAAAAAGCAAGGAAATGACTACTGGTCTCCCAAGCAGCAGGCTGGCAGCTTAAGTGCAATTTTATCTGAGGAAGAAGCAGGACCTAGCTCCAGGACACCTGAAGTTGGACTCCTTGGTCTAGTACAAGTGCGTACATGCCACGTTAATGTGAGTAACCAATTACAATTATTGCCAGTCATCAGCTACTGACAGTGATAACTATTTCTGCTAACCAGCTTGCTGGAAAAGTATACATTTAAAAAAAAAAATCTCAGTGCACAGAAAAAGCATGTATTCACGTTGAACTTCAGACTCTGAGAATAACCAACTCACTTCTGGCAGCCTCTGAAATGCAAGGTTGCCTTAAAAGGTAAATTCTAATCAAGACTTTCGGGATTTAAAACTCACCTCCTGTTTCTTCGTACTTTGTATCATCAGGATCTTGGACGACAAAATCCAACTAAACAAATCCCAGGTCCTTTTCTCTGTGTTTGGCACAGATTCTAGAAGGTCTTTGAGGCTTGGTAAAGCGTTTGTGTCTGCAAGCTAACGAGAAAGGCGTTCAGCACAGATTTCCTTCTTTTCACGGTGAGTAAACAGGGACCTCTAGTGAGAGCAACGCCGCGTTTCACCCCAGCAGAAATCCGGTTTTCTGTTCTGAGATGCAAATGTTTGCACTGACTTTGGTTTGGGGGGGAGGGGGGGGGTGT